TAGTTAAATGTTGGAAATGTCCAGCCGCCAATGTACTGACCTAAGAACTGGAACCAGAGCCAGCCAAGGAACCAGCATTTTTAGGAGGACAGCAATGGAAGCCGGCCTATGTCTCTAATGATAGGTTTCCTGTCATGCTGTCTAACCAGCTGTCCTATCTGAATCCCCCCCAGGGGACTGTCCATCATATAAGCACCGTCCCAGTCCTAGACCAGCATGGTTCAGTGACGCACTGGCTGCAGGAAATGTTCTTTTTGAAAAAAGTCAAACAATTTGCTGACCGCTCAACTTTTTCACCTGCAGGGTTACCCGGCCCTCTGATTTTAGGTGTGAGAGGGACCGACTTGCCGAGCCAGTTGGGAAAGTTCCATATTCAATGCACTAAGCTTATCTTTAACTCATGCTGCCAATGTAAAAGGATGTACGTGTACACGGAAGCAGCTGTATATGTTACATAGTTACATAGTATTTGAGGTTGAATAAAGACATTAGTCCATCAAGTCCAACCTATTAGGATCTCATTCTAGGAGTACCCGTACCCCTGTATATTACGGTCCCTTAAGAAATCGTCCAAAAGTTTCTTGAACAATTCCACATTATTTGCTGAAATCACTGCCTGTGGCAGTGAGTTCCAGACCCTAACTGATCTTACTGTGAAGAACCCCCTTCGCCCCTTGTGCTGGAATTTTTTTTCCATCAATTTTAGGTGGTGGCCTCTAGTTTTTGTAACGGAGTTAATTTTAAACAGTTTATCGCTAATGTTGGTGCCACCATTAAACATTTTGTTCATTTCATATGCTGGTTCTACTTCCTTGGTGCCCAAGCTGTGGCCTGCATGTGTCCCTTGGGGACCTCGGGGCTCTTGAAGATAGTAGTGTATTGTAGTTGTGCTTACTCAAGCCAATAAGGAAAAATATTCTTTACACTTACTTCTAATAGGTAATAGTTCAGTTTATTTCTTTTACAATACCGATACCTTCATTTTGGTTGATGCTGTCCCTCTTTTTTCCCTCTGATCTCAGGTAATGTGTCAGTAGCCTATGACTATTTCTGAAGCACGTCCTTGGTCTCCAGCAACCCCTATAGAGTGTCCCCAGTCTCCAACAACCCCCATAGAATTTCCACAGTCTCCAACAACCCCTATACCATGTCCACAGTCTCCAACAAAACCTATACCATGTCCACAGTCTCCAACAACAAGCCCTATAGTGTTCCCAGTCTCCAACAAGCCCTATAGAGTGTTCCCAGTCTCCAACAAGGCCTATAGAGTGTCCACAGTCTCCAACAAGGCCTGTAGAGTGTCCACAGTCTCCAACAAGCCCTATACCATGTCCACAGTCTCCAACAACCCCTATAGAGTGTCCCCAGTCTCCAACAAGCCCAGTCTGTAGTATGTCATCAGTATGTCACCCCTATAGCGTGTCCCCAGTCTCCAACAACCCCTATAGCGTGTCCCCAGTCTCCAACAACTCCTATAGCGTGCCCCCAGTCTCCAACAACCCCTATAGCGTGTCCCCAGTCTCCAACAACCCCTATAGCGGGTCCCCAGTCTCCAACAACCCCTACAGCGGGTCCCCAGTCTCCAACAACCCCTATAGCGTGTCCCCAGTCTCCAACAACCCCTATAGCGTGTCCCCAGTCTCCAACAACCCCTATAGCATGCCCCCAGTCTCCAACAATGCCTATAGAATTTTCCCAGTCTCCAACAACCCATATAGCAGTTTCTCAGTCTCCAACAATCCCTGTAGTATGTCATCAGTCTCCAACAACCCCTATAGAGTGTCATCAGTCTCCAACAACCCATGAAGCATGTCCCCAGTTCCCAGCAACCCGTATGGCATATCCAAAGTCTCAAGGCAAGCATTGGAGGAGGGGACAAGGGAGCTACAGAGCAGGAGGTCTTGAGAGGGGCAGAGAGGACAGTTTTGGGTGATGTTTTGGTATGAGGTTGGTGGTGTAGATTGGGGCAGGGTTGTGGGTGGCTTTGTTTGTTGTTGTTAGAATATTGAATTGCATTTGTTGGAGGGATTGGCAGAGAGGGGTGATGGACACTGAATGGATGTTGAAGTGGAGAAGTCTGGCAGCAACATTCACGATGGACTGAAGGGGGGATAGTCTGTGTAGAGGTCGGCCAACGTGGAGGGAATTGTAGTAGTCAAGGTGAGAGATAACAAGGGAGTACAATGAGTAGCTTGGTGGTATAATTGGCACAGATGAAACATTCCAATTGGTTAATATCTTGTCATTTGTAGTCTCCTGCATGGCCATCTTCTCAACAGTTTATAATCAAGGGGACTGCACAATGGCCGTGACGTACAGATCTCCCTCTAGTGGCCAATCTACAAAGTTATATATCCGGAGTGCCATCATCTCATAAAGGGGTAGTCGCATCCAGAACAAACTATTATATTTAACATTAAATAGAACTGTAAATCTTCTCTTGCTGAGATTATACTTCCCCCTTAAAGAAGACCAACTTAGAGACACGGCCGCAGGTTATGCGTCAGGTCATATGCCTGGTAAAGAGCTCAGAGGAGCCAAAGGGGTGTAGAAGAGGTCAGCCTGGGACAAAGATGGCGTCTGCCGATACCTAAGCTGGCTAACATCATAAGGACAAAGTTTTACTAATGTGTATATAATGTACAAAGTGCAGGAGACAAGTCTAGGGTCATATGCAAACATCAGGCTACAGTGGCATGACGTGTAAATCATTAATGTAAGTTCATCAACCCAGAGGTGACTGAAGCCTACATGCTCAGACCTGAGGGGGCATATTTATTAAAGGAGAACTAGGAGGTCAGTGAAAAATCACTCATCCTCATAGTTCTAGCCGACCTGTGACAATGAGACTGTCACACGTCGGCTCAATAGATCAGGAAGTGAGCGAACACATACTGGCGCTCGCTCACTTCTCGATCCTGTCCCTGCAGAGCCGTGACTGTCACTTACAGCTCCCTGCAGGGATTCCCCCTTCCCGCTCCAATCCTCCAGCGCTGACTGGCGGGAACGGACAGGGGCGGGCACAACTGGCTCTGCCTCTAGATAGGCAGAGCCAGCTGTCACTCACGCAGCTGGGTGGATCTTGACAGTAATGTCGGGATCCGTCCCGGCTGCAGCGGTCTCAGTATACCGTAAGCTACAGCTCGCGGTATACTGAGCCTAGGGTGACGGGAGGACGCTAGTTTGTGTCCTCCCGTGACCCTGAGGAGAACTATGGGGAAAAGCCCTGACCCCATAGTTCTCCTTTAGGGCCTGTTCACACGATGTCCGTTTTCTGTGCTGACCTGATCCGTACGCTCCTGCACTAAACATGCATCCCAATGTATCCCTATGTGTTTTATGGGCTACAGTTCTCACGTGCGCAGTCCGTTCAGGTTATGACAGAAAAAATACTGCATGTCACATTTTGTCCGGTCAGGAAACGCACGAAACGAAGCAAAAACTACTGACAATACGGGAGACCCCTGGTCTTTCCTGCCCAGTATGACATCATACCTTGACTGACAATCCAGGAGGCCACTGGTCTTTCCTGCCCAGTATGACATCATACCTTGACTGACAATCCAGGAGGCCACTGGTCTTTCCTGCCCAGTATGACATCATACCTTGACTGACAATCCAGGAGGCCACTGGTCTTTCCTGCCCAGTATGACATCATACCTTGACTGACAATCCAGGAGGCCACTGGTCTTTCCTGCCCAGTATGACATCATACCTTGACTGACAATCCAGGAGGCCACTGGTCTTTCACCCCACCATGACATCAAACCTTGACTAAGGGGCCAGGAGACTCTAGATCTGTCACACCCATTCATACCTGCTGGAATATATTGGCAGGCTAAGTCCACAAGCTGGCACACCAGCTGACCATTCTGACCAGTCACAATGCATGGATGGGAATTGTAGTATGATACAGCAGTGTTGAACAGTAAAAGGAAGTGACACCAGTGTTGCACCGATCCCTCCTTCCGGTGCCCAGAGAGAGTGGCTCCCTCCCTAAGTGACATGCACATTAAAAAGGTAATGTGCACAAAAATGATGGGAGTTTAATAAAGAAAATAACATGCTCATTTTTAATGCGGAAGAATGAGCGCAAACACATTGAAGGATTGGAAATGTTTACCTTTGGGACCTTGTTCCCTGTTACACCCATATTCAGAGTAACATGAAACAGTCACTTCACAACCCCCCCCCCTCACTTACCTGAATTGCAAGGTTATTTTCCCTGTAGGCTTTTTTGAATGTGGCTCAACTGTGCAAGGCTCTACCCACATAGCCGCATCATCTTCTGACAGAACCTGCGAATGGAGAAGCTACAAATTCCATCAGCCACTGCGGCAGAGCAGTTCTGAACATAAATGCGGTAACATCACCTCGCTTCTAGTCCATTCATTCTTCCATCCATGTTACTGAAATGTTTGTACTGAGGTATGGCCATGGACGATAGAGAGAATCTGCAGGAGGCAGAGCATTGCACCCGTCCACTGATTGTGGTTGCAATGCTTTACTGGCTCCGATGCAAATAAATATAATAAATGCACATTTTTTTTCTTTTATGAAGACGTGCAATTAAATTATTACAGACTAATAAAGTGTTCGGTGTACAAAGTGTAAAACAATATTTATATATTTATTCCGGGCAATACTTCAAAATGTGAATGATGATGATCATACCTCCCCCTTCTCCAAGTACACGTTTCAGAGTCTGTTTGGCAGAGGTTGCACAGCAAACAATAGGAATACCCATTCCACATGCCTGTGTTTTGTGCTTCCATGTAGGTACATTACTCTGAGCAGTGGATGGTGGGAGATACAGCGCATGAATAAATGGAGGTGTATGTACGGTCACAATCAGCATAGCACATTCTGTATCGTACTGATGACTGCAGACATCAAAATAGCACCATAAAACCAATACCCATTTTCTGTATTATCCACAACCATCTGCAGCATACGCATGAATTTGATGGATTAAAGGAGCTCGCCAGTTCTGGAAAAACATCCACTGCTGAGCGGTAATCCAATACTAGTCATTACTATATGTCACACGGTACACTGAGCTGCTGAGAACAGAGAAAGTTCAATGATTCGCACATCCCAGGCCCGGCCACTTCACAACCTCTCTGCTGCCATCCTGTGGTCAGGACAGGCATTGCGCCATGTAGCGCTCAGTCCGTATCAGATGCTCCTTCTGTGTCTTTAGATGAGTTTCACGGCTCCGGAGGCCACGAGAGGCGATATCGTACGATATCGGATAAGATGCTGAGACCCGACCTCCATATCTATGGCGTATTCCCTGTGGGGGTAAGACAGTTTTAAGTTAAGCAAGTCATGCCACCAATGTGTTTAAATCAACAACACTTTTATACTGGCAGTGTTGTTGTAAAAGAAATGCTGGTAATGTTAGGTGCATGTCATGCTGATCCTCTAGCTTCAACTCTTTCTGGCTCACTAAAACCGAACGCGACTGCAGATCAGGAATTCTGCATGAAAGTGTTTTTACACCCTCCATGGAGAAAATAAAACGCAGCGGTATACCTTATACTGAAAATTAATCGGTCCCCTTTTTTGTATGCAGTCTGTATTTGCAGCATAAATAGCTTTTGCAGGTTTACTGTAATGTATTATTGCCTATAGGTGTGGTTATATTACGTTGCAGGGCCTTCTGGGGACCAATTGTAGCAACCCTGATGTGTGCACTCTTGGCAGGGTCTTTAGCCTTAAGCGTTCGGGTGTCATGCTTAGGGAGCACATGCTCATAGTGGGCAGGGCCCTAATCAATGCGCCCACTCTGGTGCCACACATGCGCAGTGTGGCCAGGGTGCTGAATATTGGGCCGCTCAGATGTCGTGCATGTGCAGTGTTGCCAGGGTCCTTATAGTTGTCACTTGGGTGCTGTGCTTAGAATGCACATAGTGGCAGAGGACCTTATTGTTCCCATTGGGATTTGTGCTTAGAATGCACATAGTGGCAGGGGGCCTTATTGTTCCCATTGGGAGCTGTGCTGAGGATGCATAGTGGCAGGGGGCCTTATTGTTCCCATTGGGAGCTGTGCTGAGGATGCATAGTGGCAGGGGGCCTTATTGTTCCCATTGGGAGCTGTGCTGAGGATGCATAGTGGCAGGGGGCCTTATTGTTCCCATTGGGAGCTGTGCTGAGGATGCATAGTGGCAGGGGGCCTTATTGTTCCCATTGGGAGCTGTGCTGAGGATGCATAGTGGCAGGGGGCCTTATTGTTCCCATTGGGAGCTGTGCTGAGGATGCATAGTGGCAGGGGGCCTTATTGTTCCCATTGGGAGCTGTGCTGAGGATGCATAGTGGCAGGGGGCCTTATTGTTCCCATTGGGAGCTGTGCTGAGGATGCATAGTGGCAGGGGGCCTTATTGTTCCCATTGGGAGCTGTGCTGAGGATGCATAGTGGCAGGGGGCCTTATTGTTCCCATTGGGAGCTGTGCTGAGGATGCATAGTGGCAGGGGGCCTTATTGTTCCCATTGGGAGCTGTGCTGAGGATGCATAGTGGCAGGGGGCCTTATTGTTCCCATTGGGAGCTGTGCTGAGGATGCATAGTGGCAGGGGGCCTTATTGTTCCCATTGGGAGCTGTGCTGAGGATGCATAGTGGCAGGGGGCCTTATTGTTCCCATTGGGAGCTGTGCTGAGGATGCATAGTGGCAGGGGGCCTTATTGTTCCCATTGGGAGCTGTGCTGAGGATGCATAGTGGCAGGGGGCCTTATTGTTCCCATTGGGAGCTGTGCTGAGGATGCATAGTGGCAGGGGGCCTTATTGTTCCCATTGGGAGCTGTGCTGAGGATGCATAGTGGCAGGGGGCCTTATTGTTCCCATTGGGAGCTGTGCTGAGGATGCATAGTGGCAGGGGGCCTTATTGTTCCCATTGGGAGCTGTGCTGAGGATGCATAGTGGCAGGGGGCCTTATTGTTCCCATTGGGAGCTGTGCTGAGGATGCATAGTGGCAGGGGGCCTTATTGTTCCCATTGGGAGCTGTGCTGAGGATGCATAGTGGCAGGGGGCCTTATTGTTCCCATTGGGAGCTGTGCTGAGGATGCATAGTGGCAGGGGGCCTTATTGTTCCCATTGGGAGCTGTGCTGAGGATGCATAGTGGCAGGGGGCCTTATTGTTCCCATTGGGAGCTGTGCTGAGGATGCATAGTGGCAGGGGGCCTTATTGTTCCCATTGGGAGCTGTGCTGAGGATGCATAGTGGCAGGGGGCCTTATTGTTCCCATTGGGAGCTGTGCTGAGGATGCATAGTGGCAGGGGGCCTTATTGTTCCCATTGGGAGCTGTGCTGAGGATGCATAGTGGCAGGGGGCCTTATTGTTCCCATTGGGAGCTGTGCTGAGGATGCATAGTGGCAGGGGGCCTTATTGTTCCCATTGGGAGCTGTGCTGAGGATGCATAGTGGCAGGGGGCCTTATTGTTCCCATTGGGAGCTGTGCTGAGGATGCATAGTGGCAGGGGGCCTTATTGTTCCCATTGGGAGCTGTGCTGAGGATGCATAGTGGCAGGGGGCCTTATTGTTCCCATTGGGAGCTGTGCTGAGGATGCATAGTGGCAGGGGGCCTTATTGTTCCCATTGGGAGCTGTGCTGAGGATGCATAGTGGCAGGGGGCCTTATTGTTCCCATTGGGAGCTGTGCTGAGGATGCATAGTGGCAGGGGGCCTTATTGTTCCCATTGGGAGCTGTGCTGAGGATGCATAGTGGCAGGGGGCCTTATTGTTCCCATTGGGAGCTGTGCTGAGGATGCATAGTGGCAGGGGGCCTTATTGTTCCCATTGGGAGCTGTGCTGAGGATGCATAGTGGCAGGGGGCCTTATTGTTCCCATTGGGAGCTGTGCTGAGGATGCATAGTGGCAGGGGGCCTTATTGTTCCCATTGGGAGCTGTGCTGAGGATGCATAGTGGCAGGGGGCCTTATTGTTCCCATTGGGAGCTGTGCTGAGGATGCATAGTGGCAGGGGGCCTTATTGTTCCCATTGGGAGCTGTGCTGAGGATGCATAGTGGCAGGGGGCCTTATTGTTCCCATTGGGAGCTGTGCTGAGGATGCATAGTGGCAGGGGGCCTTATTGTTCCCATTGGGAGCTGTGCTGAGGATGCATAGTGGCAGGGGGCCTTATTGTTCCCATTGGGAGCTGTGCTGAGGATGCATAGTGGCAGGGGGCCTTATTGTTCCCATTGGGAGCTGTGCTGAGGATGCATAGTGGCAGGGGGCCTTATTGTTCCCATTGGGAGCTGTGCTGAGGATGCATAGTGGCAGGGGGCCTTATTGTTCCCATTGGGAGCTGTGCTGAGGATGCATAGTGGCAGGGGGCCTTATTGTTCCCATTGGGAGCTGTGCTGAGGATGCATAGTGGCAGGGGGCCTTATTGTTCCCATTGGGAGCTGTGCTGAGGATGCATAGTGGCAGGGGGCCTTATTGTTCCCATTGGGAGCTGTGCTGAGGATGCATAGTGGCAGGGGGCCTTATTGTTCCCATTGGGAGCTGTGCTGAGGATGCATAGTGGCAGGGGGCCTTATTGTTCCCATTGGGAGCTGTGCTGAGGATGCATAGTGGCAGGGGGCCTTATTGTTCCCATTGGGAGCTGTGCTGAGGATGCATAGTGGCAGGGGGCCTTATTGTTCCCATTGGGAGCTGTGCTGAGGATGCATAGTGGCAGGGGGCCTTATTGTTCCCATTGGGAGCTGTGCTGAGGATGCATAGTGGCAGGGGGCCTTATTGTTCCCATTGGGAGCTGTGCTGAGGATGCATAGTGGCAGGGGGCCTTATTGTTCCCATTGGGAGCTGTGCTGAGGATGCATAGTGGCAGGGGGCCTTATTGTTCCCATTGGGAGCTGTGCTGAGGATGCATAGTGGCAGGGGGCCTTATTGTTCCCATTGGGAGCTGTGCTGAGGATGCATAGTGGCAGGGGGCCTTATTGTTCCCATTGGGAGCTGTGCTGAGGATGCATAGTGGCAGGGGGCCTTATTGTTCCCATTGGGAGCTGTGCTGAGGATGCATAGTGGCAGGGGGCCTTATTGTTCCCATTGGGAGCTGTGCTGAGGATGCATAGTGGCAGGGGGCCTTATTGTTCCCATTGGGAGCTGTGCTGAGGATGCATAGTGGCAGGGGGCCTTATTGTTCCCATTGGGAGCTGTGCTGAGGATGCATAGTGGCAGGGGGCCTTATTGTTCCCATTGGGAGCTGTGCTGAGGATGCATAGTGGCAGGGGGCCTTATTGTTCCCATTGGGAGCTGTGCTGAGGATGCATAGTGGCAGGGGGCCTTATTGTTCCCATTGGGAGCTGTGCTGAGGATGCATAGTGGCAGGGGGCCTTATTGTTCCCATTGGGAGCTGTGCTGAGGATGCATAGTGGCAGGGGGCCTTATTGTTCCCATTGGGAGCTGTGCTGAGGATGCATAGTGGCAGGGGGCCTTATTGTTCCCATTGGGAGCTGTGCTGAGGATGCATAGTGGCAGGGGGCCTTATTGTTCCCATTGGGAGCTGTGCTGAGGATGCATAGTGGCAGGGGGCCTTATTGTTCCCATTGGGAGCTGTGCTGAGGATGCATAGTGGCAGGGGGCCTTATTGTTCCCATTGGGAGCTGTGCTGAGGATGCATAGTGGCAGGGGGCCTTATTGTTCCCACTTGGGGGCTGTGCTTAGGATGCACATAGTGGCAGGGGTCCTTATTGTTCCCACTTGTGTGATGCTTTTAAGGCACACATGCGAATCATGGTCAGGATTCATATCACTGTGCTTGCTTGGGTGCTGTATTTAGGGCGTGCATGTGCAGTGTGCCTTATCCTTGCGCCCACACAGGTGCTGTGCATTCCTAGTGTGGCTGGGGTCCCTATTGTGCCCACTTTGGTGCCAAGCTTAGGGCATGGCATGCACATTGTGGCTGGTTCACAAGAAAGCATGGGACATGTAGTCCTAACACATCAGATCAATCCACTTGCACAGTGCATGCTCTTTGACCAGTTGTTTGCTTGAAGTGCAGCAAAGAGGGACATGGCATGGAGATCTTCCATAAGGGGAAATGTAAGGGGTGCAAAATGAAGGAAAAGACATGCAGAATACCAGATGATGTCATGTATGTACTGAACCCCGGAGTCTAATCAGAAGGATGACAGGGAGCAGAGTGCTCTGGTATGTACATTTGCTCCTCCTGCTACGTATGGAATGGTTCTCTTTGGTGGAGCTATTTGCAGCACTGACCACAGAGACACATACACAGGTGTGTGACAGCACCCCATAGGGAAGGCAGCACGGTTCTGTCCTCACCTCTGCTCATCTGTCTCCGGCTCCACCAGGATGCTCTGCTGCTCCTCTTTCACCCGCAGGAACACAAACGAGTCCAGGTCCGGTTTGGGCACTACAATAGATGAGAGATTATATACAGAGCAAGCTGCTTTCTATTGCCCTCCCGCTCATATTTCCATTACTCACCACACTTCAATAGGTCCAATGTCTGTAGATTTGGGGGCATGTGACGCAGAGCCATGTTCTTTAATAAAGCCTCAGTGTGCGCCATATACCTGCAGGGACAAGGCAGAGAATGGTTCAATGGCTGATGGCGGAAGGAAGAACCGGGTCTGACCCTTTCTCTCCGCCCCACAATTTGCCCGTCTCCGCCTCCTCCCCACAATTAACCCGTCTCCGCCTCCTCCCCACAATTTACCCGTCTCCCCCCCTCCTCATAATTAACCTGCCTCCCCTCCCCATAATTAACCTGTCTCCCCCTCCTCCCCATAGTTAATCCGATGTTCTATCAAAGTTTGTTACTAGGTAGGAATGTGTGCCTGGTCACATGGTCACGTATTTTAACATAATCCCGCCCAGTTTTTTGGCGGTGGAATGTGGTGTAGACATTACATGCCGGCTCTTTGTAGGGCATTTCTAATTCCTGTATTCTGACCCCATCGGCATCTATTCATCTGACCTGCTGGACCTCGGAGCTCACAGTCATATATGGAGTTGTTTTAATTGCCATACATGGACCTTGGAGACTCTGTGGCTTCAGCCTAATGGTATGCGCCAGTCTATCTTCTATCACAGAGATAATTCAACTACAAGTCCCATGAGGCATTGCATTCTATAAGATCTATTACTGCCAGGTAACCGATTCTGGATAGCTGACTTACTCTTTTGCAAAAGCAAACTCCTCCGGGGACAGATGTGGGGGCTCCCCCTCCGCTCGGGACTTCTCCTTTTCCAGGACGTGCGGGAAAAACTTCTCTATCTGGTGACAGAAAGAACATCAAATAGTTCAAATCCAATCTGAGTCTTGGAAAGCGCAGGAGACAGTTACAACCCCTGACAATTTTCTTCCTATTGCCAAACATACGCTTCACTTCCTGCCCCGGAGACACAACAGGAAGTGAGTGGAGATTCCTTCTCAGTTATCAGAACAGGTTTCCTTACTGGAAGGTATCCCCCTGATTCCTGTTCTAGTGACAAGATTTCACACCACCATCAGCCCCGGTGACAAAAGGTCAACAGGACAAATATTGAACTTCAGCATAGGGACG